AACATTCATACAATTCACGTTTGAGTTGTTGGAATGTTTAGGTGTTTCTTTGATTTCAAAGTTATGAGGAACTAAACCGTTTTTAGCTAGGGGTGATTTCAATACCATGATTATTTATGTAATATGAATTGATGAATTCCGGTTATGAACTCTTGATTCGTGAATGCAATTGGCTTAACTATTTGATGATTAACTTATTTGTGTTTGTTGATTGAGGGTCGACACTTAATTAGCATGCATGAATATGTGGCTAAAGTTTAAGAAGGTTTCACATAATCGTTACTAACTTATACTTGAAAGTAGTGAAGGTCGCTTGTCACGATCGCGTTAAGTTTAATTCTTAGCATGAGTAACATGATGTCATAGTTGCAAGTGCTTTGTCAATGCTTATGGTTTTCATTATTCTTAATGATCTTCGATTGTATCTCTATTATGATGACATGTAGGGAACTTTTGAGAATGTTTTGGGTTGTCGAATGATGCCATCCAATCCAATAATATAAGGAAAATCTGAGGGTTAACTAGTGATATCACGGTTAATTTGGGGCATTGTCATTCATAATTCTATGAAGGAATAACTGGAAATTGATTCATATGCATAAATATCATGTGTGGAGAAAGAACCTCTAGCTAATTCACCAACCATCTTATTTCATCAATTACATTGTTGTTTCGTTATTTCAATTTTCATCAAACCTCAATCCCCCTTTTGCTTTAATGTGCAATATAGTTAGAAATCAATTTAGTTTGTGTTTTTAAAGCATTTTGATTCTTTTGGTTTGTCTTAGTGTTTTAACGTTTAGTTTCACATTCTTTGAGTCTAGTTTAACGTTTTATATTGTTTTTACGTTTTAGTTTAAATTCGTCCAAATCCAATTCCCCCCTATTTCGTTGAAGTCTTAGTCTTAATCTTTCTTATTTTTAGTTTTGCTTTCTTCGAGCATTCAATAGTGTTTTATATTGTGTTTTTATGTTTTTAAGTCAATTTAGAAGGTTTTAGCAAGCCCTCCTAATCCCCGGTCTAGAACGATCCCTCACTTATCCATTCTACTACAATTGTCAAACGAGGGTTTAATTTGAGTGTCAAGTAATTCTCGCATCACATATCTAGAAGAGTATAATGGAGTTTGTGAGGGTTGCTAGTATGGTAAACAACACAGAGAAAGTTTCTCAAGAGATCGAACTTGGAGAGTCAATGCTCCACTTGAACTGATTCATGTTGACTTATGTGGACCAATGAGAAATGAGTCTATTGTAGAAAATAAATACTTTATACTGCTGGTTGATGATGCAACTAGAACGATATAGGTATATTTTCTCAGGTATAAATCTGATGCTTTCACTTGTTTCAAGAAATTTAAAGCAATGATTGAACTACAAAGTGGGTTTAAGGTGAAGTGTTTGGGAAATGATAGAAGGGAATTTTTGTCTGCTGAATTTAATCAATTATGTGACACTAAGGGCATTCAAAGACAACTTTCTCTTGCACACACTCCCCAGCAAAATGGAGTGGTGGAGAGGAAGAATAGAAATGTGGTTGAAATGGTTAAATCCATTCTAGATGATAAAGGGATGCCTTATTATTTGTGGGCAGAAGTTGTGCACACTACAGTTTATATCCTGAATCGATGTCCTACCAAGTTTGTTGACAACATAACCCCATTTGAAGCCTATAACGGAAAGAAACCAGGTATTGCTCATTTGAAGGTTTTTGGCTCAGTATGCTATGTTCACACACCATCTGAGCTGAGACATAAGCTTGAAGCAAAGAATGTCAAGGGAGTCTTTGTTGGATATGCAAAGTGTGAGAAAAGATATAGAATTCTTGATCCAATCTCCAAGAAATTATTCATGTCAAGAGATGTTGTGTTTGATGAAAATTCAACTTAGGATTGGCAAGGAAGCACAAAGAAGTATATGTCATTGCCCAACTGTGATTGGAAATCTGTTGATGTGACAGGAAATGAGACTATTGAAGATGAAGTTAATAATTCTAATAGATTGTACATTGAGGAGAATCCCTTGTGACTTTGATGATGCACATATCACATCACAATTACATTCATGCGAGTTTTCTGGCAAAGTGTGTGAAGATGTGAAGGACACTCAAGCTATTGATCATACCCCCTTAAAATGGAGGAAGCTGGATAATGAACTTGCACAATGTAACTTGGGCATTATGGAACCAGAAAAATATGAAGATGTTGCTGAGGATGAATCTTGGATGAAAGCCATGAAGGATGAATTATCCATGATTGAGAAGAATACAACCTAGGAGTTGGTAGACAGACCAACTAACAAGCCTATAATTGGAGTTAAATGGGTGTTCAAGACTAAACTCAATCTTGATGGAGTTGTACAAAAGAACAAGGCAAGCTTTGTTGCCAAGGGATATGCTCATAACCAGGAATAGACTATAATGAAACTTTTGCTCCTGTTGCCAGATTGGACACAATCAGAACTCTCATTGCTTTGGCTGCTCAAAAGAGTTGGAAACTTTATCAACTTGATGTCAAATCTCTCTTTCTAAATGGTGTTTTAGAAGAAGATGTCTATGTAGAACAACCTAATGGTTTTGTGATCCAAGGAAGGGATGACAAAGTGTATAAACTTCACAAAGCTCTTTACGGTCTCAAACAGGCACCTAGAGCCTAGTACGGAGAAATTGACACTTACTTTGCACAATGTGGATTTGTGAACAGTCAGAGAGAAGCAACTCTCTACATCAAAACAAAGGGAGAAGAAATTTTGATTGTTTTTATCTATATGGATGACATAGTGTATACTAGTAATAGCAATGAGATGTTGAAGGAATTCAAGGAAGATATGATGGATAAGTATGAAATGACTGATTTGGGTCTTCTTCACCATTTTCTTGGTATGGGAATTATTCAAACTCACTCAAGCATATTTATTCATCAAAGAAAGTATGCTGCCTCTTTGTTGAATAAGTTTGGTCTAAGTGAATGTAAATATGTGTTCACACCCCTTGTTCCATCATATAAGCTAAGCAAGAATGATGGCAGTGGACCTGCAAGTGAGGAACAATATAGAAGAATTGTGGGAAGTCTGTTATACCTTACTGCCACTCGGCCAAATATATGTATGTTGCTAGTCTCCTTGCTAGGTTTATGCACAGTCCTACAAACAAGCATTTTGGTACTGCCAAAAAAGTGCTAAGGTATATCAAGGGCACTTTAGATTATGGCTTGGAGTATAAGAAGGGTAAGAGTGCAATGCTAATCAGATTTTGTGACAATGATTAAGGAGGATCTGTTGATGATGGTAAAAGCACTTCTGGTTATGCTTTCTCTTTTGGCAGTAGAGTATTTTCATGGGCCTCTGTGAAACAAAACTGTGTAGCTTTTTCCATAGCAAAGGCAGAGTACATTAGTGTCTCTGAAGCCACTGCATAGGCCATTTGGCTCAGATTCGTACTTGAAGATTTTGGAGAGTTACAAACTGAAGCAACACCATTGCAGTGTGACAACAAAACTGCAATTGCCATCACTAAAAATCATGTGTTCCACTAGAAAATGAAGCATATTGACAGGAGATACCATTTCATCAAAGATGCATTGCAAGAAGGGATAGTTAACTTAGTGTATTGTCCAACAAATGAGCAAGTGGCAGATATATTCACTAAGGCTCCAACCAATGATCGGTTCAACTATCTCAGAGATATGCTTGGTGTGAAATCAGTTCAAAACTTAAAGAGGAGTATTGAATTGTAAGCTGTGAGCTGATAGTATTAGAATAAGTTTTGATTTCAAATGGTGTATCCACTTGTGTCAAAGAATGTCAAGTGTAAAATTCTGGCATATAAAGCCATAAGTGTCATGTGTCTTTTGATCCTAATTATTAGCTAAATGAGTGGCTGTGATCAAGTTCTAGTGAGAGAATGATCCAGCAATTCCCTAACAGTAATATTCCCTCCCCACGACTTGTGTGAGAGAGAGATGTGTGCAAGCATCAATGAAAAAAAAAAGTGAATCACTCCTCTGTGACTTACAGAGTAAAAGAGAAGCAGTTGCCATTTTCCATTTCTCTCTGTGCATTCTTCGTTCTCTAAATCCATCTAATTGGAATTTCAATTCATGCTAACACAAATATGTATACTGGGCCTGATTTTCACGACACTAAGCTCATTTAAGCATCTTTTTTCTAAAAAATATATATATACACTTTGTTATGAATCAACAAAAGCAATTAAATGCCTTGAAATTTGCATTTTATATTCTTGGCTGACCGCAAAGCATTCTAATGGGGATATAAAATATTCAACTTTGCCGAAAGATATAAATAATAATGTAAATTTACATATTTTGCAAGTGGGCCGTGCCAATCAAGGAGGGTACAATAAATGGAATATACATTTGCCATATCTCCCATTCAAGAAGTAACATTATCTATTCTAAAATTGATTAAGGATTTAAATGTAGCTTAGATACAGTCAAATTTTTGCCCCTTGATTTTTCTTTATTTACACACTGCTGCCACCAAATCTGTGTTGGGCTGGGGTAATTACTAAAAGTTTGGAGGGTAATATTGCCGGTAGGTTTGGGCGCCCTAGGCCTGATTCGGGCCTATTTTGGGTTGCTGGTTTTGGGCCAAGTGTGGGCTTCGGAAGTGGGTTGTTCAATGTGTTGGGCTGGGTTACACCGAAAGAGTCGAAATGATTCTTTTGCCCGCTTCAATCCAGATCCCGGATAGCATCTGGAGGCACTTTTGTCATCTGCATTTAGGGGTGGTTGCTGTCGATGTCGTCAGAGGCATGGTTCACAGAGGCGTTGATGGGTTGCAGGTAGAGAGAGGGTTGACGGGAGGGGTTCCAGGTGGACAGAGTGGGATGTGGGTGCGGGATTACAGGGAGAGAAGGTGAGAGGGTGGGTGCGGTCGTGATTGATTTGGGGGGAAGGTTCTGGGAGAGGGACGCGTGTTTGCTGCAGAGAGAGGGGGGTGGTGTGGTTGCCCCGCCGCCGGGGGGGGGGGGGGGGTGGGGGGTGTGGGGGTGGGGGTTGAGGGGAAGGCTATAGAGAGAGGTGTAGGGTTGGTTATTTCCACACCAAAAATCGTCATCCTCTTTTTCAGTAAGTAGAATGAGTACTAGCTGAACAGAGTTCCTCTCTGCAACTCCTCCTCCATTACTGCATTCGAATTTTCGACAATGGTGAGTAATTCAAACTCTTCTTTTGTTCGATCGTGTTTATTTAATTTAATTGAATTTTTCGGATTTTGTTTTTGGTGTATGGGTTATGAATTTCGATGTTTTCGGTACTTTTATGCAGCTGATTGCTTTCCTCGTTTTTGTCATACGTTTTGGTTCAAAGAATGAAAACAGGCATTGACCTGAGAAATCTTAAGAGTTGTTTACAAATTAGTAATTAACTTTGCAGTGTGGATGGCTCTTGATTGTTCCTAATGGTTTTCTCTTGCCTAATAATCAGGTGAACAAAAAGGTTTATGTGGATTTACGTGTTGGTGATGTCATCCGTTTTGGGCTGTGAGTATCTTCTTATCTTAACTCTCACCCTGCAACGTGATTGACGATCTCTTCGATCTCTGTTTCGTTATCTCTTCAATCCCTGCTTTGCAACCTCCGTTGTTCACCCCGCCTTCTCATCTCCGTTGGTATTTTCACCAACCAATGAAGTGCCCGGAGTTTGAACATGAAATGCCCAGGAAACCGCCCAATTCAAGGTAACGTTTCTTTTTTTTACTTTTCTGGGTGGAATGTCAATGTGGGTTTGACCTAATTACTGCAATTGATAAATTATTGGTTTTGGTTGATGGTTTACCTTGCGCTGGGTTTTAGTTGATGGGTTTTTCTTATGGGTTTTGCTTGCATTTGGTTTTGGTTAATGGCAGGTATATTTGATCTCCGTTGCACACCTCCCCTTCTCATCGCCATCGCACACCTTACCAGAACTTGAATCCATGGTAATGTATAAATTGTATGGATTTCGCACCTATTTTAATCTTCTCTAACAAAATTAGCGTTTAAGTTGACTAATTCATACTCTTTTTTGGAAATTAGGCTCTGATTTCTCAATCCTATGCTTCTTTGCTGTATAAGATGAGTTTGTGTGTTATTACTCAGAAACGGGATTTTTTTTTTCATTAAGAGAGTGAAAATCCCTATCCTTAAGATTTTCAGGTATTTTGGCGGCAATAATATTTTGTTTTTGCTTCTTTATGTGCTTCTGTCTCCAAATATGAGGATCTCTTAATTTGCTTATGTAGCTTTTGTAATTTGTAATATGATGATCTCTTAATTTGCTTTTGCATATCTTCTTTGCTTCCTCTGCTAGCTCTATATGTGATTCTATCTCCAAATAATTATTCCATATTTCCTATTTTTATAGGAACCAAATCATTGAATACACATGGAAAATTAAAAGGGTTTTAGTTTTTGGATTGGTTTAAATTTTTTATTGTTATTGGTTGTATTGCTGTCAAATTTTTTATGGGAAGTTTGAAATGGAGAACTTGGTTGATTGGTACAGGGAGAATCCGACAGCTGCAGACTCTGATTTACTGGCTTTAAATGGAGAAGTTATTTCTCGGTTCACTTCCGTAAACCAACTTCTCAGTTCAGTTCTCAGATATGAGGTTTCTCAGCTACCTCTTTTCTGTAATGAAACATTTGAATAGTACTCGCGGGGATATCCAATTAATTAGGTCAGTTTTTGTTTAATTGGGATTCTTAAATTTGATATTAGGGATTTTAATTTGATTGGGTTTGTATTGCATTGTACACTGTTTCGGGTATCTTTAGCAAAATAGGATCTTTTTTTGGGGATTCTAGAAGTTTAGTTGAACGCTAATATTAAATTTCTAGCCCCTGTGGTGCCTCTCTCTATTTGAGTTTGAGTTGGGGATGGTGGACAATGAGCAACTCAGAGATTTATCGCAGTGCAATTTGTCATTTCCACGGACCACCTATAATACTGGCTTACATGTTTCTTCTTTTTTTATAGCAATATTATTGTTTATTTCCAAGATCTGAGTTTGTCATTCAGAAGAGATGCTTCATTCAGAAAATTGAAATTTCCCAAATCTTTGTTAATAGTTGTATCCCTTGCAGAAGGATTTAATTTTCTTGGATATCTACTTTTGAGCTTTAAGTTTTCCACGTATGCAGCATTACTAGACCAAAAAAAGTGCAGTGTCGTGGAGTAATTAGGACTGGTTCTGTTCCTTTTTTTATTTTTTATGTTGAATTGACAAGTGATTTTAAAAAATGGATGATTTTTTTACTGGGTTTAGTTTCTGTGTTTGGTTTGAGAGTAAATTCAGAGAGCTAAAAGGCAGTAAAGTTTGAATTTTTATGTTTAATGTTGTTTTGGGTTTGGATTGATTTTTTTTATTTGATATGAGAAATTGAGTGATAGGGAATTCGAACTTTTCTCCCTTTTGAATAGTTTGTAACTCTTTTCTCATTTTCTGTTTGGTTTCCTAGAAAATCGAGGGAAAAAAGGATAGAAGATTAATGAATTCACTGAATTGAGTGCTTTAAGTCCATTTATGATTGAAGGTATTCCCTTTGCTTTCATTTCTGCTTTTGTTCTTTTGGGCTTCAAGCACGTTGAGGATGGTAAAATCAATTATTTTGATTTTGGAAGTCTACTATGTTTTTCAGCTTTAGCGCTTGGGAGAAGTGAAAATATGATTTCGTTTATGGTGCTTGTATTTGTCTGTCATTTGAAAGGAATTCAGAGAGAGAGAGAAAGGAGGGGGTAGGTTTGTTGTCAGTGAGATTGAAGGATGTTCTGATGTATCCTTGCAGGTGAACTATATGCTCGCGCACCCTCATCCAGTGGAACCTGTAACTGATAGCTACATGTTTTTCCTAATTCTCACTAAACTGGAGCGTATCTTTATTGGACTCATCATGCGCGTACATTACTCTCAATAAGATTCCTTTACATTAAGTTTATTGAGCAGTATAATCTTATTTAAGTTTTAATTGTGCATTTTGATATGTATCGAGGTGGACTGAATGTTATTTGTTTTGCAGATATTTTGTTCTACCTGTAGAGGGGAACATTGGTGAGCTTATATACTCTCTCATTGTTGCAATCTCTAATGATTTAGTGAATCCTATTATCCTATCGTTGGAACAATTCAAAGAGTGTTTTAGCCTGTATTTCCTTCCGTTATTGGCTCCTAAGGTAGATTTTTCCCCTTACCCAGTTTACTGTTGTATACATAGGAGATATTGGGTGAAAAATTGTAAAAGGATGGTTTGAGAATCATCTGGAGAATACCTCTTTAATTCCCACTTTCTCCTTAAGAGTTGTAGTTCTTGGCAGTGTGATAGTGAGATATTTTTAAATTCGTTCCAATTATAGTAAAAGGTAGCATACTTTTCCTCCCGTGGTTCACCTATCCCTTAGTTATTTAAATTCTCATCAGCTCGGTTCACCCATCTCTTTGTTATTTTAGTACTTACCAGCTCGGTTCCCTCATCTCTTGGTCATTTAAATTCTTTAGATATGCCTGTATTGATTTGTGATTTTGTTGGATTTACTCTGGTGAAATGTGTGTTATTTGCGTTGGTGCATTTTAGGGTGTGACTCCATTCGTACCATCTTTGTAGTGCATCTTTCTGTGCAAATTATTTATGCATGTTGTGGACAAAGGTTTCAAAACCCGCAACGAAGCGCGGGTAATTTTTCTAGTTTATCTCTAGAAATGTGAAATGTTATGTAAATGTGGTATTTACATTCCAAGATTTTGCATCTCTCCAGTGAAAATAATTCAAATTTAAACTTTGACTGACGAGTTTGGTATAATATTTATTCCATTTAATGTAATATATATACATGTATAAAAAGGAAAAGGGGAAATTTTATTTGAATCCAAACCTCACTTGACATCCAACATAAATCTTAATTGTGAATTGTCTTCTTAGCCCTATTGTCTAATTACCATCAAGTACAAGATGAAATTAACACAAAAATTAAAATTTATCAATAAACCCATCTCCAATAATCAAATCCTTATCATCACACAATAATTTTTTTACGTTTTGTTTTGACTAAAACCTTAAGACATTGTCAAAGAGAGAAATAAGCTTTTTTTGATGGATGGATGCTAATTTTGAAGTTTTAAATCCTTCAAATAAAATATGAATCCATTTTTGTTAATTTTTTATTTGATTTCAATTCATTTTGTTTAGGCTTTAGTAGCAGTTGTATACTGCCTGCAAATAGGCTTGAAATCAAGGACAATAAAGGTGGATGATGTATTTCTCGGTATTATGTTTCTCTGCCACCACATGTTCTAGGTTTTTCGAGGATCCATGTATATGACTATTCATCTTTTTTAGTGAGTGTCCCGATAAATATATGTCAGAACCAAACCTTTTTTGTTCAGAGGAAATAGCCATCACTCGAGTAGAAAATCGAAATCAAGGATTATTGAAATCAATAATTGAACTGGGTAATTGTACTTGGTAAAACCTTGTCGTAACAATAAACTTGCCCGGAGCACCAGGTGCGAAGGAAACCCACACGATACCTAAACTTCTGCAAATTAAAAAATATTTCGAATACCTCAACGTTTGGGTTGGTTCGGTGAAGAAAAAGAGCAATGATAAATATGCAGCAAAAGAAGGATTAAGCGCCAGACAAATGTAAGATATATTGTTCTCTTTACGTCTTGAATGAGTTGTAGAATACTCATTTTGTGTTTTTATTTTCTCAACGTGTAAAGATAAACTTACATACTGAATTAGGTTTGTGAGGGTGATTTAGGTAATAAATTTGAATTCAAAGAGATATTGATGGTTTAATTAAAATTAATATGGATGTAGAGAATAAATTTAATGTAAAAATAAATTATATAGATTCAAATGAAATTTCTCAACAACCCCCCAAAACCAAACCCCAGAGACCTCCCCCACGCCACCGGAAAAAGAGATGTCGGTCTCGTGGAAAAGAGAGTATTAAACTCCACGAACTCCCACGCATTGATTCTTCCTTCCTCCTATACCAAATTTCCACAAGTCTTGTCGGCCGTTAATCTCTCCACTTTAAAGAAATTCCTATTTTTCACATCAAAAAGAAACAAATAACAATAAACGCGGTTTTGATTTTTGACTTTAGACTTTAGACTTTAGACTTTTTAGAAAGCTGCACATGAAATATTCTTGCCAAATGTCAAAGATAATACATTTCAATTGGTTTTGTGAAAATTTTAATTTTGTTCGTCATTTATTTCCTCAACTTGTAATTTACTTGTATATGTATATTTTTTTTGTAGTACGATTGGGAACAGCACAATTCATAATTTTAACCATAGTAAAGACGGTGAAAAAGCGTCAAATCCTGAATCCATAGTTTTTATTCTTCATTCTTCAATTGTCTCTTCTTTGCAAGTTGTGACGATTCCAATGCTAGAAGAAAAGAAGACTTGGAACAAATTATCCCTTTTAATAGTGTATCATTTTATTCTTTTCAATAATTTTATGGGTTGAGAGAGACTCCATGAAATGTGGAAATGATGATGGAAAGAAGAAGAGAACTAAGAAATGGAAATTAATGCAGCGTTTAAATAGAAACGTAAAAACAGAACTAGGAAACGGACAATCAAAATGCCCAAAAAAAAAAAAAGGAAACGGACACTATGCTGTAGTTTCTAAATCAAAATGTAAACAAAAGAAAAACAGAATAAGAAAATGAACACTGCAATGCAATTTCTGAATCAAAAAAAAAAAAAAAAAACCAAGAAACAGACACTACGTTGTGATTTCTAAATCAAAATGTAAAACAAATAAATAAATAAAGGAAACAGACATTGTGTTGTAGTTTTTGAATCAAAATGTGTAAAAAAATTATAAAAAAAAAAGTGAAACGGAATAAAGCATAGAAAGTGTGTGAGTGATGAAAAAAAAGGAACCAGGAAATGAACACTACAATGCAGCGTCTGAATTCAAGTGTAAAAAAACAGAATCAGGAAACAGACACTGCGTTGCAGTATCGGATCCTTTTTGACCTATTCCAAAATATGAAAAATATGAGAAAGGGGATGTCAGTTGAAGTGCGTGCCAACTGTAATGGCAGATTTTATAATTTTTTTTAATTTTAAATGTATTTAAGTGTCACAGTATATGATTGACATATTTATAATTAACATAAATATTATTGATCTATTGTCAATATGGTAACTTTGTATTGATTTTATACAAAATCACCCTTAATATAATATATATATATATATATATATATATATATATATATATACGGTCTTGGTAGAATTATTATAAAGTAATTATATTTTATCAAAACCTAGCGGGTGGGCATAATTCAATATTATATAAATACATAATTATTTCGAAAGAAAAATATTACAGAGACTCTCAAAAGTATGACTCTCTATAATCACTCCGCCACCTCATGTTTTTTACACAATTCATGACAATATTATAAAATATTGTGCAAAATGCATGAGGTAATGGAGAGTCTATGCACTTTGAGAGTCTCTTGGCATTTCTCATTTCAAAATTATGTAAGGCAAACTAGAAAAAGCAGTAAATTAGGTGGTAAGTATATTTGGTAAAGAATCAGCTATATCTGATGCATCAAAAGGTCTCATTTTATCAATCATGTTGTCTGGTGGAATTATTGCATAGCTAATTGTGCTTCTTGGTCTTAATTTGACTCTAATGAACATGGTTGAACTTTAAGGAAGGTACTGCTTCAAAGTCCTTTAAATTAGGATTTCAATACCTTGGTAGAATCGAGAAAAAAGAAGTTTGGTGGAAAGCAAATTAGTTAAAGACTAACCCATATATGGTGCATCAGAGAGTCAATTTATCAAATTATGCTGTCTACTGGAATTATTGATCTCCGATGGGGACCTTGGACACCACAGCATAAGGATAAAGCGTTTCTAATGGGCCGGAATAGAGGTCATTTATCCTCTTCTTCTTTAACCATTGGAATACCTAGAGATAGCTTTTTGGTTTTTTGTTCTTGTTTTTATCAATAGCAATGCTCCAACGACATTAACAATGTTTTTTTTCTAATATTTTAGTCCCTACATACATTTATGTATTCTACTATAAGGACTTTTCATTGAAGACAATATTCATTTAGAGACCCGAATATTACCTTGAAGCCCCTAAAAGAGTTCTCAAGAGTGGTGGTGGAGACCCAACAATAGGGTCTCCCATTGAGATGCTCTTAGTACTTGATGAGTGGAGAAATAATTTTGCTTTTATCGTTGCACATGAATCCCTGCAATGGATGCCTAGAGAGGATTTTACATCAGTATAGGGATCAGGTTCGTTGTTGGATTTTGAGGCATTTGTGACACATTGATATTCAACAGGTCGTGGAGATATTCAAGTACACTTCAAGTTCTCAAATATTGTAAACGATTGTTGTTTAACAATGCCCTCATCTATACAGATTTTTTGGCTTCATCCCTGCCTGCATCTACCATTCAATTGGAGACGGAGACTGAAAGATTCATGCCAAATGGTAAGGCAAATACATGTAATAAATTCAAGACAAAAAATCACTAAGTTAAGTCAATATATTTCTGTTTGCATTGTGAAAATTTTGATTTTTTTTGTCATTTATTGTCTCAGTTTGTATGAAAAAGTTGTTCCTTCTAATACCATGGGATTTTTTATTTTGCATTGTGGAAATTTTGATTTTGTTCCGCTTTTTTCCAGTGATTCCGGCAACTACTTTCATCGAGTGAGGTATTGTCACGCCCCAGACTCGGAATGATGAAAGAATTGATCCTGCACCCGATACGCGAATAAAAATAAAATAAATAAAAAGAAACTGAAACAAGTTTGAAGAATAATTCATTTAAAAATGATACAGAAGAATAAATAGGTTGGAATGAATTGGAAATCGATTTATTAAATATACGAGTCAAATACACAATAAATCAGAGTTTACCAAAATACAATAATCACCATTCGACTTCATGTATATCTCACAAATCCCTTAATTCTCTAAATTGATTTGCAGCCTTAGATGCTTGGATTCGACTCCCTGAGGTGAAAATTATACTGTAATCTGACTTAACTCAAGTTATGAAAATACAGTAAAGAAGGGAAATGGATCCTCTCCGGATCCATTCCCACCTAATCCACCTATTCCGGAATCCGGACCGTTCAAATTTAATCCAACAGCTAAAGTTATTATCACTTTTAAAGGAGCCCCATGTTTGTAACCGTTGGATCAAATTTGAATGGTCCAGATCTCGAACTAGGTGGATTAGATAGGAATGGATCCAAAGAGGATCCATTTCCGTAAAGAAGTTGGAAGGCTACAAAGTTCGCTATGCTTTGATTGCTATGATGTTGGATTCATCAGCTAATCAAATGGTAAAGCTTCAAACTTCAGTTTTGCGTCAAATTTATGGAGTTTTATTGATTTGTAGAGATTCATATAAAGTTTTGATTCAATTCCCTCGAAATCTTAAAGGAAGACGTAAGATATGTGGATGCTTAAAATACATCCAATTGAAAACACCCCTTATTGTGATTGGTTTCAGAGCAATGATGGGTTTTTTATGATTCAATTGTTTTCTTGCGTGTAATGTGTAGGATTTTGAGGCTTTTCATGGTATTGAGGAAGTTTCAGAGCTCATAAGGGACAAGCATGTTGATAAGAATCTCAGGTTTTGATTTATTTCTCTTTGCTTGCTTGATTCTCGTTGTCATGAGTTGTGATTTGAAGCTTTATCTGCTTAATGTCTTTTGAATTAGTCCTCTTGATAACGAACAGTCACAAGTGAATAAAACGCAAGGAACTGTTGTGCTAAATGACCATAAGTATTGTCTTGATCAAATGACAGTGATGATTCTTCACTAACAGCAATTTAGCATAATTTCTATGCAAATACATTTAAGTCGGTCAATTATTATGTGTCTTCTAATCTAATAACGCCAAGACTAAATTTGTAAAGACGCCAGTTGCAGCGTAATTATTCGAAAGACCGTAAACTCTTGAGAACTTGCTGTCAATAACCTTGAAGTATCGCATGGAGTATCGCACGGGGTCCAATACAAGACAATACAATTCCACTTACATCGTGGAAATTTTGGTTTGCAAGTCCCTATTATCCTCAACTTGTACTTTACTTTGAAGCGCTATTAAGACAAATGACAAACGAAAGTGGAGAAGAATCATCTATCTTGTGGGAATCATTCATCCTTCCTCTTATCCTCCAAAACGACTTTTGACTTTTTGCAATTTGTTTGAAAAATAAATGTGAATTTGTCTCTCAAGAGTTGAGACATTTTTCGTGTATTTTAGCCAGGTCCAAATAATGTGAATTACGCATTTTGACTATTTGCAACTTGTTTGGAAAATAAATGTAAATTTATTTTCTCAAGAGTTGAGACGATTTCTGCAATTTTTAGCTTAGTCCAAATAACGTGCATATATGTTGTTTTCTAATTCCACAAAAAATAAAAAGACTTCTAAAACGTAAACAGAACGAAACAATCAACACAGAATTGTGTTGGTTGTTGCAGGCTTTGTCATTATCTTGGAGAGACGAGTCATCCTCTAATTGCTACACCTATCTACAGAAAAGTAGTTGGTCCACTCACATGTTACATGCTTGACCATTTGAGTCAATAACCTTGAACTATTGCATGGATTTCCACTTGCATCGTGGAAATTTTGGTTTGTAGGTTGTTCTCAAACTTGTACTTTTCTTTAAAGCATGATTAAGACAAATAACAACCAAAAGTGGAGAAGAATCATTTATTTCGTGGGAGTCATTCATCCTTCCTCTTATCCTCCAAAACAACTTTTGACTATTTGCAACTTTTTCGAAAAAAAAAAAAATGTGAATTTGTCTCTCAAAAGTTGAGGCATTTTCCGTTTATTTTAGTCTGGTCCAAATAACATGAATTAGGCATTCTGACTATTTGCAACTTGTTTGTAAAATAAATGTAAATTTGTTCTCTTATGAGTTAAGACGGTTTCCGTGCTTTTTAGCTTGATCCAAATAACGTGAATTACACGCATATATATTGTTTTCTAATTTCACAAAAAACAAAAAAAAAACTTCTAAAACATAAACAGAACAACACAACCAACGCGGATTTGTGTTGATTGTTGTAGGCTTTGTCATTATTTTGAAGGGACAAGTCATCCTCTAATTACTGCACCTACCTACAGAAAAGTAGCTGATCCACTCACACATGTTCCATTCTTGATCATTTGAGTCAAGACGACTTAGTGTGTGGATTGTATTGTGAACTATCGCGTACTCACCCAGCATTGTAATACACTCGCAGCTTTAATTGTACACTTCTTCTTCATTCTTCAATCGTCTTTGCCTTGATTTTGTTGAATTAAGATGGAGAATGACGGAATCAGGTGCTTGAAGAAACTCTTTCATAATTCCATTGTGGCGCTACTTTTTCTACAATGTTTCAACCCTTCCCTATCCTCTGGATTCTATAATGTTTCTTTGGGTTATGTATTTCAATAAAGACAAAATAAAGGATAAAGTGAATAGTATCAAAATTGATTTTTTAGTGTAAATATGTGGTTTTTCGTTAAAGTTAACAGTATCGGAAGCTTTTTATTAAAATTTCTAATTTTAAACCCGTAGCATCACGCAGGCTTTACTTTCTATTACATACTAGAGAGAGCAAGAGAGAGAATAGTGGGAATCATTCATCACTAAGTCACACGTGTGGAATTTAATTTGCGGACAAATTTTTTTACTGTTTCTAACTTTTTGGAAATAAACGTTAATTTGTTCTCTCAAGAGCTAAAAGACGTTTTATGAGTTGTTATGGCCTGAAGCCGTACCTGTGCCACGCATAGATTCTCTTTCTCCCCAATTCAACGAAAGTCCTCTTTCTTACGTACACAAAAAAACAACAAACTGCGTTTTTGAGTAATTATATCTCTGCCTGCCCTTTTTACTTTTGACTTGAGAGAAAGCAGCCCATGTAAAGTAAGATTCCATGCCTAACTCTAAGGCAAATACATTATTCTAACAAACTATAAAACTTAGTGTTCCCAACCAACATTTATTCACACCCAACACATTACACTGTCGGTTGTTTTCCATACCCCGAGTCCTCACCATTTGAACTACACTTGCAGCTTTCCTTTTGCTCCTAAATCAAAATCCTGAATCCACAGTTTTTCTTCCTTCTTCAATTGTCTCTTGGATGATTTAGTTCAATTAAGATGGAGGGTGACGGAATCAGGTGCTTGAACAAACTCTTTCGTGCTTTAATTGTGGTGGTAATGTTACTACAATGTGTTGTCAACCCTTCCCTTTCCCTTGGAGTCAATAATATTTCTTCAGCGGGAGTGACGAGGTGCTTTGAGAGGGAAAGAGAAGCGCTCCTTGCTTTCAAACAGGGCCTCGTGGATGACTACAATCTCCTCTCTTCGTGGGGAAGAGAAGAACACAAGCAAGATTGTTGCAAATGGGTAGGCATCCACTGCAGCAACCGAACCAACCATGTTACTCAACTTGATCTTGGGTGGTATTTTTTGAATGAAGCTTACTCACTTCAACAGAAAGGACAGCCGGAGTATCCCGAATATTATTTTCAAGGTAAAATGATGAGTCCTGAACTAATTGAGTTGCAGCATTTGAAATATTTGGACCTTTCTTCCGTTGACTTCACTGGGACCCAACTTCCATATTTCATTGGTTCTCTTTCCAATTTAAGACACCTCGATCTCTGGACTGCTTCTTTTGGTGGTCGATTTCCAAGCCAGGTCGGAAACCTTACACGCTTGCAATATCTTGATCTCAGGTCCAATCACTTTGCTAATGTAGAAAACATGAATTCATGGCTGCCTCATCTTTCTGCTTTAACATATTTGGATCTGAGTTCCAATAATCTCAGTAATGTTCCTGACTGGCTGGAAGTAGTTAATAAGCTCCCTAAACTTACAAACTTGTCTCTGTCTTATTGCAGTCTTCCTTCTCCTCTAATTCATTCCAGTACTCTTTTTAACATAAATTCTTCCAGATCTCTTGCTCATGTTGACCTCAATTACAACCAACTCACTTCTTCCATATTTCTTTGGTTGTCCAAATACAATGCCAGCCTTGTTCATCTTGATCTCAGATCCAATAACTTTGCTAATGTAGAAAATCTGAATTCATGGCTGCCTCATCTTTCTGCTTTAACATATTTGGACCTGAGTTACAATAATCTCAGTAATGTTCCTGACTGGCTGGAAGTAGTTAATAAGCTCCCTAAACTTACAAACTTGTCTCTGTCTTATTGCAGTCTTCCTTCTCCTCTAATTCATTCCAGTACTCTTTTTAACATAAATTCTTCCAGATCTCTTGCTCATGTTGACCTCAATTACAACCAACTCACTTCTTCCATATTTCTTTGGTTGTCCAAATACAATGCCAGCCTTGTTCATCTTGATCTCAGATCCAATAACTTTGCTAATGTAGAAAATCTGAATTCATGGCTGCCTCATCTTTCTGCTTTAACATATTTGGACCTGAGTTACCATAATCTCAGTAATGTTCCTGACTGGCTGGAAATAGTTAGTAAGCTCCCTAAACTTACAAACTTGACATTACAGGGGTGTGGTCTTCTCCTGTAATCCATTCCAGTACTCTTTTTAACATAAATTCTTCAAAATCTTTTGCTCATGTTGACCTCGGTTCCAACCAACTCACTTCTTCCATATTTCTTTGGTTGTCCAAATACAATGCCAGCCTTGTTCATCTTGACGTCTCTTACAACCAGTTAACTGGCTTATTTCCCGATGTCATTGGAAACATGAGCTCTCTTGCATATCTAGATCTCTCTTCTAACCAATTTGAAGGGGTGATTTCAGAAAGTCATTTCTCGGGTCTCTCCAGATTAAGATATTTGTCTCTGTCCTCTACCTCCCTAACTTTAAACTTCCATTCTACATGGGTTCCTCCCTTCCAATTGGATTCTATATTCTTGGGGTCTTGCAAGATGGGTCCACATTTTCCAAATTGGCTTCGAACTCAGAAAAGTTATTGGAGCCTTGATATTTCTAATGCAGGAATTTCTGATATCCTTCCAAGTTGGCTTTGGGAAAGGCTGTCTCATGCTCCTGAAATTGGTTATGTAGATCTCTCCAACAACCAAATTAGAGGAACAATTCCAAACTCGCAAATCAATTTTGTATGGTTCTCTCGTCGACTAAATTTGAGTTGGAACCAATTGGAAGGTGAAGTCCCTCCATTCCTATTGAAAGCCTCGTCATCTCTCCTTCTCTCCCACAATAAGTTTTCAGGGTTGATTCCAATTAACGCAAGTAATTTAAGATTGCTTGATCTCTCGAGCAACCATTTACATGGAGAACTTCCCGATTACTGGACTCATTTCAAAAATCTTTTAGTTCTTGATTTGAGTGACAACCATTTTTTGGGGAGAATTCCTGCCACAATGGGCTCTTTATCTTCAATTCAAACATTGAACCTAAACAATAATGGACTTGTGGGAGAATTGCCTTCATCTTTGAAGAACTGTACAAGTCTCGTGGTTTTTGATGTTGGAGAAAATAAATTATCAGGTTTGATACCTGAATGGTTAGGGGTTGGATTTCCAAATTTGACTATTCTTATCCTCCGTTCTAATCACTTCTATGGAAGCATTCCATCACAATTGTGTAATATGGGAAGCATTCAGATTCTAGATTTTTCGATCAATAGCATCTCCGGAAGTATACCCAAATGTCTCAACAATTTGACTAATTTGGCTCTAAGAGGAAGTTCAAGTCTAATCATCACTCACCCAGAGTCATTCTTCACTGCTATGGGTGGTTATCGTGACGAAGCATCCTTGATATGGAATGGAATAATGTCCAAATACAAAAGTACTCTGGGGCTTGTAAAGAGTATCCATCTGTCAAGTAATCAATTAACAGGAGAGATTCCTAGTGAAGTTACTGATCTTGTGGGGTTGATTTCTTTAAACCTATCAAGAAACAACTTAACAGGTCAAATAACTCCAAAAATAGGGAAGTTGCAGTCTTTAGATTTGCTTGATTTGTCAAACAACCAAATACATGGTACAATTCCAACAAGTCTCATTGGAATATCTAGCCTTGGTAAGTTGGACTTGTCCAACAACAACCTGTCTGGAAAAATTCCCATCGGGTCTCAACTACAACCCTATGACACCTCTGTTTTTGCCGGAAATCCTCTTCTTTGTGGAATTCCACTTGAACATATGTGCTCTCCTAAGGAAACAACCTTGAAGGAGAAACCGGTGGTTGAGAATCAAGATGAAGATAATGATGGGTTTATAACACCTGGATTTTATGTGACTTTGGGGCTTGGATTTGTCATTGGATTCTGGGGAGTTTGTGGGAGTTTGATATTCAACCGGTCATGGAGATACACGTACTTCAAGCTCTTGAATGGTTTAAATGATTGGCTTTATGTCAGGGTGACATTGTTCAGGCAACGAAGAATGCTCGATGAATAAACTGTAAGTTTTTTGTGACATAATGAATAATATTACAATTAACATACATGTCTTCTTCTCTTTTAAAATCCCGGCTAACGGCTAACGCCTATGGTTTACCTGAATTTTTGTAGCTCGTTCATCGTCTTGTTTGGTACTTCATGCTAACCCTTTCGGCTTTCGGTTTGAGGAGGAGCCTGAAGGAGAAGAAGAATGCAATAACTTAAGGTTATCGAAGAAGAGATTTTACAGAATGAAGAGCTCTACTGTTACTTGTAACAATAAGTTGGAATTTCTCCATATACATTAGAGGTAGATGTATTTGGATCATTGTCGAGTTGTAATTTCACACAAGTATTTATGGTTTTAGTTTCAATTTTTCCCAATTTGTATGAATTAATGGATGAATAAACTGCATTCCAAATTGAAAGCCAGGATTGAAGAGCTGTGTAAGACACTAAAAAAAGCGGCACTAAACGAAGGTAAAATTTCAAAACTACATTGAACTTGTTATGCAAACGCCAAAATAAGAAACACGACCCTAAACAAATGATGGAATATGTGTGCTAAAAAGTTAATAACTTAAAAAATAAAATTTCTCACCATTCCTATTAAAACACGTGGTATACCACTTGTGTTCCCGTCACAACTAAAAATTTCTCCCATTTGTGAAACATCATACAAGCTTGTGATAAACGAACAAGTTTGGCTCATGAAAACAGAGGCAAAATTATTATATATATTTTTTTATTTATTTGTTGCCCTAACATACAAACAGTTGCCCCCAAATCCAACTCCAGCTAATTACCCCAACAAAAGAAGAAGATTAAATTATGAAGAAGGGAAAAAAAATAATTATGTTTGGGGTCCAAATAAATGAGAATAGGAACTCTTGGTAGCCTGTTAGCATCTGGCCAAAATTGTTCCAGCCTTTGGCCGATAAGAGTTTTGTTCCAGCCGTTTCGACTCCGTATGCACGAGTGGTAAGATGAGTAACAGGGAATGTAATGCTGAATAAGTGCTCTTGAGTTTAATGTTTGTCTCTTGTTGGTGAATAACATACGATTCAGAAGCGGATAAAACAGATACACTAATCAAATAGCTAATGCACAGCCAACTAAGTGAACAGGGAAAGGGAGCAATATTGATATCAATATCAATTCCTCTCACTTGGTAAAATTATAACGTGACAGAAACAGAACGGCCAACTATGAATAACCAGGAGTACGAAAAGAAATTCTAATGAAAACTATTCATCAGCCCATGAAAAAAAAAGAAAAAGATTTTGGAAAACCACACGTAGGAGACAGGGAAACAGATTATACTTTCCAGCTTTCACTCCACAACTATATACTTTATGGATATCATATAGTAAAGAGGAATGGTGAAAACAATTTCTTTTCGGGTTGCATAGCTAAGTTTCATAGACCCACCGGGATTAGCACTCGCCCTCCACCCTTGGTCTCAAGGAACATGGCATATCATTAGGTTTAAAAGCTATTTGAAAGGAGAAACATGTAAAGCATTTGCAACCTTACTTACCAAAAGAAAGTAACGAAAATATCTTAGCACAGATTTACTTATGTGACAAGAGTATTGTGTATCAGGAAAAAAACAATGGAAGAAGCTTTCGGAAGGTAACAAAAAAGCAAGAAGAAAGAGAACATACAAGCATATCTTCTCAAATAACCGTTTCCATTAATGGAAAATGGTACAGGCCTCCTTTCCTGACCGAAAGATAAGATCTCTTGCATCCTTTCAGGCCAGTCTGAATTTAACCTCCGAGCAAAATCTTCAACCTCCCTGAACAGCGATTTAAGAAAATATGTCACAGCAGCAAGAACAAGTTGTCTCTAAAAATTGCATATTCACATGCAGAACCATGGTGGAGGATGCAACTTGAAATTCCAGTTTATCAGAAAATAAAATAATACTGACTAGAGAGAAAAAGACCTGCAGAACCAGAAGAGTGGGCGGCCGGAACCATGTTTCACAACAGATGCTTAATGGTGATGACCAGAATGAGAGCTCTTTTTCTTTATAAACATAAACGAATATTTATTTAAAATGTCCAAACAACTATTGCACACAGAAAATCAAAAACCAACATCTTTCAAAGCCACCATAAAGAGCTAGCAAAGGCAAAACATTGTCCCCAATGTTTACTCATTTTTATCACAGACCAACTTTTTTACGCAACCTTTTTCATCTTCTTAGCTGGGTGAGGAGTGGATTTGAACATGGGACAGTTTAAAAAAGAAGTGGAGAAATACCACTACATTAATAGCTATTTAGTTTTTAAGCAAACTCTGCAACATTGAAAAACATATGACAATTTGAAATTCTTTTGCAGGTATCAAATTTCATCTTCTAATTGCATATCTTCAATTTCAGAACTGCATTCATAAAAAAATAAAATAAAAAAGCAACGAAGTTGCACCGTAATGAGATCCACCATTCTGTTTCCTTAGGCTTTCCATAACTAAAGTCATCATCGACAAAGTTATTACCATTCAGTTCAATTCAGTAACTTTTCTTCCACATGTTGCTCAACGTGATATATATATTTTTTTTCAGTCCACTAAAATTAAAAAAGATAAGATTATATTGCAAATCATGTAATAACCCAAAATAGTTGCAGGCAAACCTATCAATTTTTTCCTTCAATGCCGGATCAATCTCATCATCAATATCACCATCATCAAACCCAATCATATCCTCCACCCTATCATCCTTTAGATCTTGTAGCTTTAATGTCAAACTAGAGCTAGGCGTAAATTTGTTGAGTTCATCACTGGGGCAAGCAAAGTTAAGATTGCTCGACACCTACAACATTTGGGCGAAAAGAAAAATGAAGAAAAATTAGCTACCTAACAACTCAAGCGGAAATGTATAAGTTCAAGACCGAATTAGTGATTCAAACCTCATGGATCTCATTAGCCTCATATAGACATGTGCTTTTCTGCTGATCTTTTCTCCTGCGATTCTTCTTTTTGTTCTTGGAAGTTTTAATCCCTTTGGAATCTGTGAAACATAATTTCCTTACCTCCAATGAGGCCTTCAAAAGGAAATAAAGTAAAAATAGACGACTAAGACACTACACTTCAAATCCCATTTAAAGGAATCTTAAGTACTCCCAAGTACAGTATAATGTGGGCTAATGCAATCCTGAAAAAATTAGTATCAAGTGTGCACTGTGCAATTTGCTCGTTGGAACTACAGGCAACTCAATGATAAATCCAATTTCTCAATTAACAATAACTATGCAGTCAAGGAATAAGAGAGCAATTACTCAGGTATACCTCCAATTTCTCCATTAATGAATGACAAGAGATCATCAACTGAACGTTCATCGTTTTGCTCTTCTTCAAGCTCGGCATTCTGAAAAGTATGGAAGGTTCAATAATGACTACCAATAAGAAGGATATATTATTTAGCATAGTATAAAAGCCAGAAAACGTATTATGGAATACGTTTTGAATTCAGATTCATCAAATACCAAAGTCACCTTCAATTTCTCTCTTTCCTGAAGTTCCCTCCTCTTTCTTGCATATAATCGATTCAAAAGCCGGATGCGTGGATCGTCAGTTGAATTTTTCAAAGGCTCCAACTTCACTTCCTGGATGATTTCTTAGTGGTGTTAAAAACAACAAAGAAACACCAAGTTTTTGCTAAGCATACACAGATATCTCAAGCATCGGAGACCTCTGTAAGATCATCAGGGAGATGAAATATTTCACGTATCTCCTCAGGTGTTTTCCCTTCAATTATTCGTGCAAGAGCACGACTAGTAAGATCCACCAATGGTTTTAATTGGAGGCTGTCAGCAGCTGTAGTCAACTCACAGAGCAACTTTGTGTCCATTCGGATGTATTTTTCATCAAAAGCCTTGCACTCCTACATAAACAAGTGGTGCCAAGTCATATGAGCGTGCCGAGTTTACACCAGCATCAGAGTAAACATTTAATCCAGTGTGCAGGTGGAGATTAATGTCCTCAGTAGCTCAAATTTATGCAAAACAGACTGAGGGCATAGACTCAGAAAGAAGGAAAACAGAATGACATTCCAAAAACATGCAGAACCTTGTTCGAGCGACCTGGTACTTGATGAAACCTGCAGTAATCAAGAATTAAGCTCAACATTGCAGTACTGACTCTTTCAGGAAGAGATATTGCATGATTCTTGGAAGCTCCCATCCCTTTCTGTATATTTTCTTTGCATATCATGGGGCAATACATGGCAACCTCTTGTTCCACTTGTTGGATTGAACCGTCGGTAGTCTGAAGCCAGATGTAAGACTTCATCATCTGAGAATGAGTTGGCACCGATGTGGCTTTAGAATTCCAACATTACAGAGTAAACGAAAAATATGAAACAGTTAAGCAACCCACCCACCTTCACCCCCTCCAAATAAACAAAAATAAAAAGAGAGAACAAATTAACACTCAACAAGTAAAGGCAGCTACAAGCACTCAAAAGAAACGAAAAACAGAAAACAATCGATTCGACTATGGCTTGAAGAACAAAGAAAAGAAAACATAATGCATTTATCTATTAAACACTAGACAAAGACGACACAACATAGTGGAAAAAAAGGAACGAGGGGCACAAAAAGAAGCACGAAGAAAGCGTACAGGAAAGTGATAATACCTCAGGTTTAATAACAGTCATGTCACCTTCTGACATTTGAACAATCCCAAGTTCTGAGGCTTAAAAACTGGAGTGCAGCAGGCACAAGAAAACAGCTTTATGTTCTTATGCAACAACTTGCTGATACCCTGTTAAGTCAAACAAAATTATAATTAGCAGCCCTTTTATGCAAATCCTTAACCAAAATTAAAGTTTACACAAATTTAACATAAACCCAAGTTAGCTAGGGCGGTAAACCACCCTTTGCAATCCCCACTCCATCGTTTAGATTAGATTAGAATATCGCTCTCAAAACATAAACCCAGCTCTTACTTGCCATGAAACAATACAAGTTCCAATTTTTCTTAACAAATCTATACTTCATACATATATATTTCCACTAAACTTAATTCCATTTATTCCAAAGTACATGAAAAAGCATTCTGGTGATTATATTGCCCTAAATCAAGTGAGAAAAATTGCAATTCATAGGTATTTTAGCTGAATTTCTCGATTAAACTAACTTTTATTACAAATAAATGATTGTTTTCCTAAAGATTTTAGTTCAGCAAGCTCCGGATTAAAGGGTACTTAGCAATTTCATTTTTCCATTCAATCATTTCCATTTTTCCTGCACTTTCTGGGCAACCAAACAGGCATCCAGAAGGGGGAAAAAAACATGGTAATGAAAAGCAAAAGGATAGATAATTAATTAACACGAAGGAGACATACGAAATGTACGGATTCCAGGTAGGGTAGCTTTGAATTGCAGAGATTTGGCAGTTGTCGGCGAATCCCAAAAAATGGATAAAATTGCGAATAAATTTTAGGGAAAAAAAAAGGCCTCTTGTGTGACTGAAATTGCGTCAAAAATCAAAAGGTCTGCAAATCACACGTCAGCGTTTCGTTAGGGTTTCCTGACCTCTTGTATTTATTTTGATTTGATTGATTATCGTTGTTTGTTTGTACACTTCCTGGTGCGGGCCCACCTTAATCATCGGATCATATTGATCATCAATGTGAGCTGGTAATTAGCAGCCTTCGATTGAAAATGGTCCCTATCAATGAGGCCCGTACGCCCTTTAGATAGTTGGACATTGAATATTCAGTATCATTAGTGTTGTGAGCAGGGCACAAATAGGGGCGAATGAATATGGAACAATAAGGGTGGGGTAAGGAATGATTTTTGTGTATGGACCGTATGAGCCGACTGATGATCCTCCTTGAATCTTCTTTTTAAGGATTCTGAAAATCTTTTAATTATGTTTAGTCATCGTACATTGTACGATCATAAGTTATTTTAAATATTTTATTTAAAATTAAATATAAATAATATCTAATAAAAGTTAGTTGTACGATTTACTATGAACGAATATACGATTAAAAAATTCTTTGAATCTTCACAAAGAGAATCCTCATTCGTATGAGCCACCTGGTCTGAACTCTGGACAAAAATATTTCTTCTTCGTAGGGCATATTCTCTTATGAGTCATGTCACTAATACATCACGTAGTCAGTTGATAAGTGTTTAATCAGTCATTACTTTTATTATCCTTTTCTTCACTATTTTGTGTAGTTTCTTTTATATTTGAGTCGTTTTTTACATATATGGAAAAAGGAAGATTTGAAGCAAGATTTGTCAAAGTGCTAGAATGTTGCTGGTGGAGTGTCACGAAGATTAATTTGCCGAGACTAGATCGGGAAGAATTTGATGGTGTGCCATATATGGATGGAATCCATATTTAGTTTTTAGAGGCTTTTACCTTTTGTGATACCAATGTATGAAACAAAAATTATTGTTGTTTTAGTAACTGCTGCCCAGTGTGAAGTTTCTTCGCGAAAATTGGAGAATTAAAAAACTAATTCAAATTGTTAAATTGGGTTTAAGAGTTAATGCTGCTGAAGTTAAAGATTGGAAAATGCACTTTGATGAAAAAATAGGAATAACAATGCTGATGTGGAATTGGACTAATCCTAATCATCGAACTCGTTGGACCTCAACTAACGACCTTTTGGTGTGGGCTTTGGTCATGGATGAGTTCATACTCATGTTCTCTGATTTAAATTTGGCCCATCCGCTTTCTCTATGCATATTAGGGTTCTTTTTTATATTACAAACAATATTACTCCTCTTTAAAAAAACAAAAATAAAAAGTGTCTATCCACTAGAGAGAATCAACCACCTGTTGTATATAATTTTTAATTAGCTAAAGGGTGCATACTTTACTAAAAAATCAACTATTTCTAAAAAATTTTAAATTTCACAAAAATGAAGATCTTAATGAGTAGAGCAAGTTTTATACCTATGACTAAGTTCAATTTGGTCGTAAAAAGCTCCAAATAGCTATGAACCCACCGGAACCCTAGAATTTTGATGTTCTTGATTCGTCCTCAAATCAACTCCGACACTCCAACCACTGATTGGGCTTTGTTCCTGACCTCTTGAGGAGTATTTTGGTGATGGTAATTGAAGATAAACGCTTTAGAAATGGTGGATCGCCATCAAAGTTTCCTCGCACCCACTGGTGCTGTTCTCACGAAATTGGTTCTTAAAACCCTTCGATCTTGGGCAGAAATGGTAGATGGGAAGTAGCAGGTGAAGAATGGGTGAATTTCGTTGGAAAAAGTGGTGGAAATTGGTCGGAAATAGAACCAGGTCGAAACCGGTTTTGTCATGGGTCCGGTCGACGGGAAGAGGGAGATCCTCCCTCCTGATTGGATGCCCCCTTTTTCTTCTAATTGGTCCCTAGCCCTTTGTCTGATTGGTCCACTCATTCCTCCCTAATTTCTGATTGGTTACAATTCCCACATTGTGAGAGTTAATTACTTTCAAATCCATACATTAGTAAAACAACTTCAAATGTCCGTAACTATATCGTTACAATCTGGACTCGTAAACAGCTTTAGCCTATGTGTTCGTAGTGATGAGTACTACGAGGATACGCTAAAAGAATAAATCCTACGACTCTCAAACCGATGGTCAACGAAAGTCAAAATCTTTGCCTCTAGAGCATTTTCGTAAATTCACATTTTTAAAATTTATAAAATCATAGAATTAAGGACGGATTGTCACATGTGAAATTTTAATCTTGTAAAATTGTGAGTTTGATACAATATTTACTCTTATAGTGTAAATATATGTCGTTGTATAAAAATAAAAAACAATTTCACACCAAAAAGACAAGTCAATCTAGTGAAAAATAGAGCAAGAATAACAAAAATGTTATTCTTACTATCTATTGTTTGGTGTGGAACATACTTTTTCCCTTCGACGGGTTTGAAATTCTAAGCAAGATTTTTAATGAAGCCATATGCACCCTATGGTTGTACGTGTTATCTTCATTAATGCATATCCTACAATTTCATCACAGCCACGCATGCCCTCAGCCAACACGGACCACACAACCCAACCTAACCCACCCACCCACCCAACAAAATTCCTGACCATTTTGAACCCCATTTGCAGCTTCTTGTAAATCAAAATCCTGTATCCACAGTTTTCTTCCTTCTTCAATTGTCTCTTGGTTGATTTAGTTCAATTAAGATGGAGGGTGACGGAATCAGGTGCTTGAACAAACTCTTTCGTGCTTTAATTGTGGTGGTAATTTTACTACCATGTGTTGTCAACCCTTCCCCTTCTCTTGGATTCAACAATATTTCTTCAGGAGAAGTGATGCGGTGCATTGAGAGGGAAAGAGAAGCACTCCTTGCTTTCAAACAAGGCCTCGTGGATGACAACAACTTCCTCTCTTCGTGGGGAATAGAAGAACACAAGCAAGATTGTTGCAAATGGGTAGGCGTCCACTGCAGCAACCGTACCAACCATGTTATTCAACTTGATCTTGGATTGGAAAGTTACCATCGAACTCGCTCATTTGATCAGAAAGGACACCCGCACTTTATCCGATATTATTTGCAAGGTAAGATGATGAATCCTAAACTGATTGAGTTGCAGCATTTGAAATATTTGGATCTTTCGTGGATAAACTTCAATGGGATCCGACTTCCAGATTTCATTGGTTCTCTTTCCAGTTTAAGATACCTCGATCTCTTTGGTGCTTCTTTTGGTGGTCAATTTCCAAGTCAAGTTGGAAACCTTACCCACTTGCAACATCTTGATCTCAGCTTCAATCATTTTGCTAATGTAGAAAATCTCAATTCATGGCTACCTCAGCTTTCTTCTTTAACATATTTGGACCTGAGTTACAACAATCTTAGTAATGTTCCTGATTGGTTGGAAACGGTTAGTAAGCTCCCCAAACTTACAAACTTGACACTGTTAAATTGCAGTCTTCCTTCTCCTGCAATTCATTCCACTTCTCTTTTTAACATAAATTCTTCTACATCCTCTTGCTCATGTTGACCTTAGTTCCAACGAACTCACTTCTTCCATATTTCTTTGGTTGTCCAAATACAATGCCACTCTTGGTCATCTTGACATGTCTTTCAACCAATTAACTGGCTTATTTCCCGATGTCATTGGAAACATGAGCTCTCTTGCATATCTAGATCTCTCTTTTAACCAATTTCAAGGGGTGATTTCAGAAAGTCATTTCTCGGGTCTCTCCAAATTAAGATGTCTTGGTCTGTCCTCTGCCTCACTAACTTTAAACTTCCATTCTAAATGGGTTCCCCCTTTCCAATTGGATTCCATATTCTTGGGGTCTTGCAAGATGGGCCCACATTTTCCAAATTGGCTTCAAACTCAGACAAGTTATTCAGTCCTTGATATTTCTAATGCAGGAATATCTGATACTCTTCCCAGTTGGTTTTGGGAAAGGCTGTCTCATCATCATGAAATTGGTTCGGTAGATCTCTCCAACAACCAAATTAGGGGAACAATTCCAAACTCGCAAATTGATTTTTTATATTACCCTCGTCTACTAAATTTGAGTTGGAACCAATTGGAAGGTCAAGTCCCTCCATTCCTATTAAAAGCGTCATCTCTTGATCTGTCCCACAATAATTTTTCAGGGTCTTTTTCTTTCTTGTTTCCAATGAAGGCAAGTAATTTAACGTTGCTTGATCTCTCGAGCAACCATTTAGACGGACAACTTCCCGATTGCTGGACCCATTTCAAAAATCTTTTAATTCTTGATTTGAGTGACAACCATTTTTTGGGGAGAATTCCTACCACAATGGGCTCTTTATTTTCTATTCGAACGTTGAACCTAAACAATAATGGATTTGTGGGGGAATTGCCTTCATCCTTGAACAATTGTTCAAGCCTAGTAGTTTTTGATGTTGCAGATAATAACTTATCAGGGCCAATACCTGAATGGTTAGGGTATGGACTTCCAAATTTGACTATCCTTATCCTTCGTTTTAATCACTTCTATGGAAACATTCCGTTACAAATGTGTAATATGAGAAGCATTCAAATTTTGGATTTATCGATGAACAATATCTCCGGAAGTATACCCAAATGCCTCAACAATTTGACCAATTTGGCTCTAAGAGGAAGTTCAAGTCTAACTATCACTCATACCATTTATGTAAACTCCACTTCTCTCACTAGTTATAGTTATGATGACGAAGCATCCTTGATATGGAAAGGCATGATGTCCAAATACAAAAGCATTCTGGGGCTTGTAAAGAGTATTCATCTGTCAAGTAACCGATTAACGGGAGAGATTCCTTGTGAAATCACTGACCTTGTTGGGTTGGTTTCTTTAAACCTATCAAGAAACAACTTAACAGGTCAAATAACTCCAAATATCAGGAAGTTGCAGTCCTTAGATTTGCTTGATTTGTCAAACAACCAAATACATGGTACAATTCCAACGAGTCTCACTGGAATATCTGGCCTTGGTAAGTTGGACTTGTCCAACAACAACCTGTCTGGAAGGATTCCCATAGGACCTCAGCTTCAAATTTATGAGCCCTCTGTTTTTGCCGGAAATCCTCTCCTTTGTGGAATTCCACTTCAGACGTGCTCTTCTGAGGAAACAACTCCAGAGGAGCAGCCGGTGCTTGGGAATCAAGATGAAGATAATAATGACGGGTTTATAACTCCGAATTTTACGTGAGTTTGGGGCTTGGATTTGCTGTTGGATTCTGGGGAGTTTGTGGGAGTTTGATATTCAATAGGTCATGGAGATACACATACTCCAAGCTCTTGAATGGTTTGAATTATTGGCTTAATGTCGGGGTGACATTGTTCAGGCAACGAAGAATGCCCGATGACTAAACTGTAAGTTTTCTGTGACATAATGAATAATATTGCAATTAACATACATGTCTTCTTCTCTTTTAAACTCTTGGCTAACAGCTAATGCCTGTGGTTTACCTGAATTTTTGTAGCTCGTTCATCGTCTTGTTTGGTACTTCATGCTAAACCCTTCAGCTTTCGGTTTGAGGAGCCTGAAGGAGAAGAAGAATGCAATAACTTTTAAGTTATGGGGGAAGAGATTTTACAGAATGAAGAGCTCTACTATTACTTGTAACAATAAGTTGGAATTTCTCCAAATACATTAAAGGTAGATGTATTTGACTCATTGTCGAGTTGTAATTTCACACAAGTATTTATGGTTTTAGTTTCAATTTTTCTCAATGTGTTATGAATTAATGGATGAATAAACTACATTCCAAATTGAAAACCAGGATCGAAGAGTTGTGTGTAAGAGACTAAAAAGAATGGCACTAAACAAAGGACATGAATTAAAATTTCAAAATTATATTGAACTTGTTAAACAAATGCCAAAATAAGTGAGACGACAAAGTTCGTGTAACCTCATACAAGCTCGTGATAAACGGACAAGTTTGGCTCATAAAAATAGGGGCAGAAGTATTATTTTTTGATTTATTTGTTGCCCTAACATACAAACAGTTGCCCCCAAAATCCAACCCCAGCTAATTACCCCAACAAAAGAAGAAGATTAAATTATGAAGGGGAAGAATAATTATGTTTGGGTCCAAATAAATGAGAATAGGAACTCTTGGTAGCCTGTTAGCATCTGGTCAAAATTGTTCCAGCCTTTGGCCGATAAGAGTTTTGTTCGAGCCGTTTCCACTCTGGATGTAATCCAGTATGCACGAGTGGTAAGATGAGTAACCGGGAATGTAATGCTGAATAAGTGCTCTTGAGTTTAATGTTTGTCTCTTGTTCTGATCCTTCGGTGAATAACATACGATTCAGAAGAAAGAGATGTTATACAATGTATTCAAACGTTGATCAAACATTCAGGATTGTTACAATACTAGTGGAATTAAGCTTGTCTGAGTGAGGGAATATCACTTGTCAAATAGCTAATGCACAGCCAACTAAGTGAACAGGGAAGGGGGGCAATATCGATATCAATATCAATTCCTCTCACTTGATAAAATTATAACATGACAAACAGAACGGCCAACTATGAATAACCAAGAATACGAAAAGATAATCTAATGAATAATATTCATCAGCCCATGGAAAAAAAAGAAGGAGATTTTGGAAAACCACATGTAGGAGACAGGGAAGCAGATTATACTTTCCAGCTTTCACTCGACAACTACATACTTTATGGATATCATATAGTAAGGAGGAATGGTGAAAACAATTTCTTTTCGGGTTGCATAGGTAAGTTTCACAGACCCAGTGGGATTAGCACTCGCCCTCCACCCTTGGTCTCAAGGAACATGGCACGTCATTAGGTTCAAAAGCCATTTGAAAGGAGAAACATGTAAAGCATTTGTAACCTTACTTACCAAAAGAAAGTAACAAAAATACCTTAGCACAGATTTACTTATGTGACAAGGGTTTTATGTATCAGGAAAAAAACAATGGTAGAAGCTTTCGGAAGGGAACAAAAAAGTAAGGAGAAAGAGAGCATACAAGCATATCTTCTGAATGAACCGTTTCCATTAATGGAAAATGGTACAGGCCTCCTTTCCTGACTCAAAGATAGGATCTCTTGCATCCTTTCAGGCCAGTCTGAATTTAACCTCCGAGCAAAATCTTCAACCTCCCTGAACAACGATTTAAGAAAATATGTAACAGCAGCAAGAACAAGTTTTGCCTCTATAAATTGCGTATTTACATGCAGAACCATGGTGGAGGCCGCAACTTGAAATTTCGATTTACATCCTTATCAGAAACTAAAAAATACTGACTAGAGAGAAAAGATTTGCAGAACCAGAAGAGAGGGAGGGTGGAACCATGTTTCACAACAGATGCTTAATGGTGATGACCAGAATGAGAGCTCTTTTTCTTTATAAACATAAACAAATATATATTTAAAATGTCCAAACAACTACTACACACAGAAAATCAAAAACCAACATCTTTCAGAGCCACCATAAAGAGCTAGCAAAGGCAAAACATTGTCCCCAATGTTTACTCATTTCTATCACAGACCAACTTTTTTACGCAACCTTTTTCATCTTCTTAGCTGGGTGAGGAGTGGATTTGAACATGGGACAGTTTAAAAAAGAAATGGAGAAATACCACTACACTAATAGCTATTTAGTTTATAAGCAAACTCTTCAACGTTGAAAAACATATCACAATTTGAAATTCTTTTGCAGGTATCAAATTTCATCTTCTAATTGCATATCTTCAATTTCAGAACTGCGTTCATAAAAATAAAAATAAAAATAAAAATAAAAAAGCAACGAAGTTGCACCATAATGAGATCCACCATTCTGTTTCCTTAAGCTTTTCATACTAAAGTCATCATCGATAAAGTTATTACCACTCAGTTCAATTCCGTACTTTTTCTTCCAAATGTTGCTCGACGTGACATATATATTTTTTTCATCCACTAAAATTAAAAAAGATAAGATTATATTGCAAATCATGTAATAACCCAAAATACTTGCAGACAAACCTATCAGTTTTTTCCTTCAATGCCGGATCAATCTCATCATCAATATCACCATCATCAAACCCAATCATGTCCTCCACCCTATCATCCTTTAGATCTTGTAGCCTTAATGTCAAACTAGAACTAGGCATAAATTTGTTGAGTTCATCACTGGGGCAAGCAAAGTTAAGATTGCTCGACACCTACAACATTTGGGCGAAAAGAAAAATGAAGAAAAATTAGCTACCTAACAACTCAAGCGGAAATTATAAGTTCAAGACCAAATTAGTGATTCAAACCTCATGGATCTCATTGGCCTCATATAGACACGTGCTTTTCTGCTGATCTTTTCTCCTGCGATTCTTCTTTTTGTTCTTGGAAGTTTTAATCCCTTTGGAATCTTTGAAACATAATTTCCTTACCTCCAATGAGGCCTTCAAAAGGAAATAAAGTAAAAATAGACGACTAAGACACTACACTTCAAATCCCACTTAATGGAATCTTAAGTACTCCCAAGTACAGTATAATGTGGGCTAATCCAATCCTGAAAAAATTAGTATCAAGTGTGCGTTGTGCAATTTGCTCGTTGGAACTACAAGCTACTTAATGATAAATCCAATTTCTCAATTAACAATAACTATGCAGTCAAGGAATAAGAGAGCAATTACTCAGGTACACCTCCAATTTCTCCATTAATGAATGTCAAGAGATCATCAACTGAACGTTCATCGTTTTGCTCTTCTTCGAGCTCGGCATTCTGAAAAGCATGGAAGGTTCAATAATGACTGCCAACAAGAAGGATATATTATTTAGCATAGTATAAAAGCCAGAAAACGTATTATGTAAATACATTTTGAATTCAGATTCATCAATACCAAAGTCACCTTCAATTTCTCTCTTTCCTGAAGTTCCCTCCTCTTTCTTGTATATAATCGATTCAAAAGCCGGATGCGTGGATCATCAGTTGAAATTTTCAAAGGCTCCAACTTCTCTTCCTGGATGATTTCTTAGTGGTGTTAAAAACAACAAAGAAACACCAAGTTTTTGCTAAGCATACACAGATATCTCAAGCATCGGAGACCTCTGTAAGATCATCAGGGAGATGAAATATTTCACGTATCTCCTCACGTGTTTTCCCTTCAATTATTCGTGCAAGAGCACGACTAGTAAGATCCACCAATGGTTTTAGTTGGAGGCTGTCAGCAGCTGTAGTCAACTTACAGAGCAACTTTGTGTTCATTCGGATGTATTTTTCATCAGATAAGCTAAGCAAGAATGATGGCAGTGGACCTGCAAGTGAGGAACAATATAGAAGAATTGTGGGAAGTCTGTTATACCTTACTGCCACTTGGCCAGATATAATGTATGTTGCTATTCTCCTTGCTAGGTTTATGCACAGTCCTACAAACAAGCATTTTGGTACTGACAAAAGAGTGCTAAGGTATATCAAGGGCACTTTAGATTATGGCTTGGAGTATGAGAAGGGTAAGAGTGCAATGCTAATCAGATTTTGTGACAATGATTAGGGAGGATCTATTGATGATGGTTAAAGCACTTCTGGTTATGCTTTCTCTTTTGGCAGTGGAGTATTTTCATGGGCCTCTGTGAAACAAAACTATGTAGCTCTTTCCACAGCAGAGGCAGAGTACATTAGTGTCTCTGAAGCCACTGCGCATGCCATTTGGCTCAGATTCGTACTTGAAAATTTTGGGGAGTTACAAACTGAAGCAACACCATTGCAGTGTGACAACACAACTGCAATTGCCATCACTAAAAATCATGTGTTCCACAAGAAAATGAAGCATATTGACAGGAGATACCATTTCATCAAAGATGCATTGCAAGAAGGGATAGTTAACTTAGTGTACTGTCCAACAAATGAGCAAGTGGTAGATATATTCACTAAGGCTCTAACCAATGATTGGTTCAACTATCTCAAAGACATGCTTAGTGTGAAATCAGTTCAAAACTTAAAGAGGAGTGTTGAATTGTAAGATGTGAGTTGATAGTATTAGAATAAGTTTTGATTTCAAATAGTGTATCCACTTTTGTCAAAGATTGCCAAGTGTAAAATTTTGGCATATAAAGCCATAAGTGTCATGTGTCTTTTGATCGTAATTATTAGCTAAATGAGTGGCTGTGATCAAGTTCTAGTGAGAGAATGATCTAGCAATTCCCTAACAGTAATATTCCCTCCCCACAACTTGTGTGAGAGAGAGATGTGTGCAAGCATCAATGAAAAAAAAAGTGAATCATTACTCTGTGACTTGCAGAGTGAGAGAGAAGCAGTTGCCATTTTCCATTTCTCTCTGTGCATTCTTCCTTCTCTGAATCCATCTAATTGGAATTTCAATTCACGCTAACAATGCCTGCACTTCCATTTGCAACCGTAAGCCTCCTCCTTACTTGTCATGGTTGTAGAGGATAGCAAATATTTACCAAGTTGTAACTATAAGATGATTTCTAAAGAGTCAACTGATATAAGTTAGAATTTAGTTCGAAAAACAAAGTCCGTTTTCTTAGATCCTATATGCTCCAAAGTTGTTGGATTATACCACTAGTACAAAAAAGGTCATAAACGACAGTTTTTAACTGTCTGTCTGGTACCAATTACTCAAACTTTGATGATAAAGGAGGGTAAATAAATGGAATATACATTGACATATCTCCCATTCAAGAAGTAACATTATCTATTCTAAAATTGATGAAGGATTTAACTGTAGCTTAGATACAGTCAAATTTTTGCCCCGTGATTTTTCTTTATTTACACACTGCTGCCACCAAATCTGTGTTGGGCTGGGGTAATTACTAAAAGTTTGGAGGGTAATATTGCCCGTAGGTTTGGGTGCCCTAGGCCTGATTCGGGCCTATTTTGGGTTGCCGGTTTTGGGCCAAGTGTGGGCTTCGGAAGTGGGTTGTTCAATGTGTTGGGCTGAGTTGCACCGAAAGAGTCAAAATGATTCTTTTGCCCGCTTCAATCCAGATCCAACTGATAGCATCTGGAGGCACTTTTGTCATTCTGCATTTAGGGGTGGTTGCTGTCGATGTCGTCAGAGGCATGGTTCACAGAGGGGTTGATGGGTTGCACGTAGAGAGAGGGTTGACGGGAGGGGTTCCAGGTGGACGGAGTGGGATTTGGGTGCGGGATTACAGGGAGAGATGGTGAGAGGGTGGGTGCGGTCATGATCGATTTGGGGGGAAGGTTCTGGGAGAGGGACGCGTGTTTGCTACAGAGAGAGGGGGGAGGTATGGTTGGCCGGGGGGTTGGTGTTGAGGGGAAGGCTATAGAGAGAGAGAGCTGTAGAATTAATACTAGCTGAACAGAGTTCCTCTCTGCAACTCCTCCTCCATTACTGCATTCGAGTTTTCGACAATGGTGAGTAATTCAAACTCTTCTTTTGTTCGATCGTGTTTATTTAATTTAATTTGAATTCTTTCCGATTTTGTTTTTGGTGTATGGGTTATGAATTTCCATGTTTTCGGGACTTTTATGCAGCTGCTTTCCTCGCTTTTTATCCATACCGTTTGGTTCAAAGAATGAAAACACGCATTGACCTGAGAAATCTTAAGAGTTGTTTACAAATTAGTAATTAACTTTGCAGTGTGGATGGCTCTTGATTGTTCCTAATGGTTTTCTCTTGCCTAATAATCAGGTGAACAAAAAGGTTTATTTGGATTTACGTGTTGGTGATGTCATCCGTTTTGGGCTGTGAGTATCTTCTTATCTAACTCTCACCCTACAACGTGATTGACGATATCTTCGATCTCTGTTTCGTTATCTCTTCAATCCCTGCTTTGCGACCTCCGTTATTCACCCCGCCTTCTCATCTCCGTTGGTATTTTCACCAACCAATGAAGTGCCCGGAGTTTGAACATGAAATGCCCAGGAAACCGCCCAATGCAAGGTAACGTTTCTTTTTTTACTTTTCTTGGTGAAATGTCAATGTGGGTTTGACCTAATTACTGCAATTGATAAATTATTGGTTTTGGTTGATGGTTTACCTTGCGCTGGGTTTTAGTTGATGGGTTTTTTTGCATTTGGTTTTGGTTGATGGCAGGTATATTTGATCTCCGTTGCACACCTCGCCTTCTCATCGCCGTCGCACACCTTACCAGAACTTGAATCAATGGTAACGTATAAGTTGTATGGATTTCGCGCCTATTTTAATCTTCGTTAACGAAATTAGCGTTTAAGTTGAATAATTCATCAAAATAGGATCTTTTTTTGGGGATTCTAGAAGTTTAGTTGAACGCTAATATTAAATTTCTAAACCCTGTGGTGCCTCTCTCTATTTGAGTTTGAGTTGGGGATGGTGGACAATGAGCAATTCGGAGATTTATCCATTTGTCATTTCCACGGAGCACCTATAATACTGGCTTACATTTTTCTTCTTTTTTCTCTGCCTATAGTAATATTATTGTTTATTTCCAAGATCTGAGTTTGTCATTCAGAAGAGATGCTTCATTCAGAAAATTGAAATTTCCCAAATCTTTGTTAATAATTGTATCCCTTGCAGAAGGATTTAATTTTCTTGGATGTCTACTTTTGAGCTTTAAGTTTTCCATTTATGCAGCATTACTAGACCAAAAAAAGTGCAGTGTCGTGGAGTAATTAGGACTGGTTCTGTTCCTTTTTTTAATTTTTATGTTGAATTGACAAGTGGTTTTAAAAAAATGGATGATTTTTTTTACTGGGTTAAGTTTCTGTGTTTGGCAGTAAAGTTTGAATTTTTATGTTTAATGTTGTTTTGGGTTTGGATTAATTTTTTTTATTTGATATGAGAAATTGAGTGATAGGGAATTCGAACTTTTCTCCCTTTTGAATAGCTTATAACTCTTTTCTCATTTTCTGTTTGGTTTCCGAGAAAATCGAGGGAAAAAAAAGGATAGAAAATTAATGAATTCACTGAATTGAGTGCTTTAAGTCCATTTATGATTGAAGTTATTCCCTTTGCTTTCATTTCTGCCTTTGTTCTTTTGGGCTTCAAGCACGTTGAGGATGGTAAAATCAATTATTTTGATTTTGGAAGTCTACTTTGTTTTTCAGCTTTAGCGTTTGGGAGAAGTGAAAATATGATTTCGTGTATGGTGGTTGTATTTGTCTGTCATTTGAAAGGAATTCAGAGAGAGAGAGAGAGAAAGGAGAGGGTAGGTTTGTTGTCAGTGAGATTGAAGGATGTTCTGATGTATCCTTGCAGGTGAACTATATGCTCGCGCACCCTCATCCAGTGGAACCTGTAACTGATAGCTGCAGGTTTTTCCTAATTCTCACTAAACTGGAGCGTATCTTTATTGGACTCATGTTAAAACATCATGCGCGTACATTACTCTCAATAAGATTCCTTTACATTAAGTTTATTGAGCAGTAAGTTTTAATTGTGCATTTTGATTTGTATCGAGGTGGACTGAATGTTATTTGTTTTGCAGATATTTTGTTCTACGTGTAGAGGGGAACATTGGTGAGCTTATATACTCCCTCATTGTTGCAATCTCTCATTGTTGCAGATATTTTGTTTCTTAGCCCTATTGTCTAATTACCATCAAGTACAAGATGAATTTATCGCAGTGCAATTTGTCATTTCCACGGACCACCTATAATACTGGCTTACATTTTTCTTCTTTTTTCTTTTTCTATAGTAATATTATTGTTTATTTCCAAGATCTGAGTTTGTCATTCAGAAGAGATGCTTCATTCAGAAAATTGAAATTTCCCAAATCTTTGTTAATAGTTGTATCCCTTGCAGAAGGATTTAATTTTCTTGGATATCTACTTTTGAGCTTTAAGTTTTCCATGTATGCAGCATTACTAGACCAAAAATAGCACAGTGTCGTGGAGTAATTAGGACGGTTTCTGTTCCTTTTTTTATTTTTTATGTTGAATTGACAAGTGATTTTAAAAAATGGATGATTTTTTTACTGGGTTTAGTTTCTGTGTTTGGTTTGAGAGTAAATTCAGAGAGCTAAAAGGCAGTAAAGTTTGAATTTTTATGGTTAATGTTGTTTTGGGTTTGGATTCATTTTTTTTATTGGATATGAGAAATTGAGTGATAGGGAATTCGAACTTTTCTCCCTTTTGAATAGATTATAACTCTTTTCTCATTTTCTGTTTGGTTTCCAAGAAAATCGAGGGAAAAAAGGATAGAAGATTAATGAATTCACTGAATTGAGTGCTTTAAGTCCATTTATGATTGAAGTTATTCCCCTTGCTTTCATTTCTGCTTTTGTTCTTTTGGGCTTCAAGCACGTTGAGGATGGTAAAATCAATTATTTTGATTTTGGAAGTCTACTATGTTTTTCAGCTTTAGCGCTTGGGAGAAGTGAAAATATGATTTCGTGTACTATGTTTTTCATCATGCGCGTACATTACTCTCAATAAGATTCCTTTACATGAAGTTTATTGAGCAGTATAATCTTATTTAAGTTTTAATTGTGCATTTTGATTTGTATCAAGGTGGACTGAATGTTATTTGTTTTGCAGATATTTTGTTCTACGTGTAGAGGGGAACATTGGTGAGCTTATATACTCTCTCATTGTTGCAAACTCTAATGATTTAGTGAATCCTATTATCCTATCGTTGGAACAATTCAAAGAGTGTTTTAGCCTGTATTTGCTTTCGTTATTGGCTCCTAAGGTAGATTTTTCCCCTTACCCGGTTTACTGTTGTGCATTTAACCTATAATCAATCATACATAGGAGATATTGGGTGAAAAATTGTAAAAGGATGGTTTGAGAATCATCTGGAGAATACTTTTTAATTCTCACCTTCT